ACGTTAGACTAAGAGACGCGGCATCGTGTGGGCTCAACTACTTTCGAGGGCGATGATGGCTCATGGAGTTGGTCCCACTGCCAAAGCACGTTCTTCTCTTTGCTCACTAGTTTGTATCTGTGCCGACCGATCCTGTCAAGCAAGTATATGGACATATTATCGTTTAACTATCCAAGACTTGTGAGGTTGACCGCAAGTAATTTCTACGGTTTCAAGGAATTTGATATTGTAAGTGATTCGGTGACCCTTTCTATGAGTGACTCGGTTAGGAAAACTAGGATTTGTGTTCCAAACATTGTTAAGTTTGCGTTGAAAGCTCGTACCCCCAACTGGATGTATTATCTTTCGTTACGACTACTTCCAAGAAGTAGGAGTCGGATGTAAACCTCTTCTCGCATGTGCTTGAGGCTCATGGTTTTTGGAGCTAAAACGAATGCTTGAGGCAGTGAGTGGGTCTCGGATTTCTGTGTCTCCGAGGATGAAGGGCAACACGGATTTCTCTGTCTCAGATGTCAGACTGTATAAGGACGCACGTAGCTCGGATTTTAATTGTAATTTATGTTCAAAATTATTTTTAATGAATACAGAGAAAAAAAAAAAAAACACACACACACACACATTTCAGGATTAATTTTATTTTATAAAATATAATAGACAAAATATATTTCAAGTTTGATTTTGTTTTATGTTATATAATTACTAAAATGAGTAGATGTGAAGCATCCTTATGTCCATTTGCAAGTGGAAATGACAGAAAAAGGACATTGTGTAGAGGAAAAAGAAGTCCACCAATCCCAAACATATAGCAGCAACCTTTGTCTCAGAATTCAGAAGTTAGTTCAGACTTCCAATCACAGGTAAAATTACTTTCAGTTTACCATATTTTTGTGGCTTTGAGCTTTCGCATACGATCACGGGACGACTGAGCTACGTAATGTTTTCTCATGCTCAACATGTTCCATAACCAGTAGAAGAACAAACAAGCAGAGAATCAATTCAGTAAGAGAAGGAACTATCTTCTACGTTATATAAACATTTCATGAATGACCGAAATCATGAGCAAAACACCACCAATCGTTTTAGTTACTCGGTTACTTAGCTACTGTTTCCCATCTTCCCTAGTCCAATTTCTCTCTTTCTCAATTGTTATGGTTCAACGTCATATTTGAATATTTGAAGCACTAGCCGTCCTACTTCCTACTAACTCACGCGGTGATGGGAAAAGTCGAGCCCTAGGTCAATTTAAGCGACAACGACGTTGACATACATCTTTTAGTTGTCAAAGGTCGATAAATTTAACGATTTTATTTTAACATACGATTAAACCTTTTCTTTAATCAAGCAGGCTTAGTTTTGTTATTATTATTATTATTATTATTATTATTATTATTATTATTATTATTATTATCATTATTAATAAAGAAATACATTTATTATTAACACTAAGCAGCATTAATATTAGGGTTGATTCATCATTCAATAGAACACAAAATCGTTCCCACTCACATTATCTCCTATGGAAAAGCTTAAGCAGGCGACAGAAACAGAGGAGTCTCTGTCCACAGCCATGGCCGACGATATAATATCCCAACTTCCAATACATATACTTCACAACATACTTTGTTCACTATCCCAGCAAGAAGCTGTGAGAACATGTCTACTCTCCAAACAATGGCGCCACATAGGATCAACCCGCCCCAACCTCAAGTTTTCTGATAAATGGTTCAACAACAAACAAGAAAAATTTGTCTCCGTCGTGGACCGAGCCCTACAACGATACCGTGACCAAAACCTCTCCCTAAACAAACTCCATCTCTACATATCGAGCTCCAACTCACGAAGGGTCGTCTCCCCTCTCGACAAATGGATCCCGGTAATAGCCGCCCTCAACATAAAAGCGTTCAAACTCAATTTTCATTCGGCATATTACGACCTGCCCTCGACAGTGTTCTTAGTGGAGTCCCTCGAAAGACTACACATGTGGGGATACAGGGTGAGCTCGGTTGAGAGCGTGCGGTTCAAATGTCTGCGCAAGCTCACCCTCATCTATGTCAAAGTTGATGACAGCACTTTGGAGACGATAACGTCGGGCTGCCCTTTGCTCAGGAGCCTGGTCATTGAAAGTTGTTGGGAGTTGCGAAACGTTATGCTGAGCGAGGCCGCATTGCCTGAGTTCAAGCACTTTGACTTGGAGAGTTACCAGTGGAGGGAAAAGTGTAGCATCGTAATCCATGCCCTGAATGTCGAGACGATTTGCATCAAGGGCCCATGGATTTGGTCTAACTGCCAAAGCACATTCTTGTTCTCTTCTCACGAGTGTGAATCTCAGTGAGGTGATCATGCCGAGCGAGTTGTTTGACTTGTTATCGTTCGGCTGCCCGACTCTTGAGAGCTTGACCCTAGATAATTGCTTCGGTTTCGAGGAATTCCATCTTGCAAATGATTCGGTCAAGTACTTGCGCATCTCGACCGGAGACGATTTGCTTAAAGGAGTTAGGA